TAATGTAATGTAATCTAATATAATATAATAATGTAATATAATATAATGTAATGTAACGTTATATGCAGCAGAGTATTATTCTAGAATAGCAGTAAATGGAAATACCCCAGTAAAGTACAAGTACCTCTGATGTGTACTTAAATTAGTACTCGAGTACATCAGAGAGGGAGTTGAAGGAGGGGGCGGGGCTTAACTCAGTACTTTAGGACCTCGCGGACACCACCACGGCTTCGTGTTCTGTGACGTCAGGGCAGTCTGCTGCAGGTCAAGAAAGATGGCGGCGGAGGAGAGCAGGTTGAAGCAGCGGAATCATAAAAACAGCATCTTCAAAGAAGGTAAAGAACTCCTCACGGACCGAGGGTTAAAACGGTGTTACCGACGCGACACGTGACCGCGGGGTTACCGTGAATACGCGGTTTCCGTCGCCGCGTGTTTTGTAATGAAATGACACTGCAGACTGCTCCGCTTCGTCGAATAATCGCAGCTCCTGTCGTTTCGCATCCCGCTGCGAATACAAAAAAAAAACCATATCACCGGAGATGTCACCGTGTCACCGGTGACAGTGACCGCGGGGGCGTTTAAACCGACACCGACTCGTCCCCGCTGTGTGCGGTGTATTGTCCTGAAGCAGCCGGTGTGAGGCGTCTGGTTAAGCCGTCCATCTGTCCTCACCTTCAGCCCGATGAGTGTTTGTTGTTAGCGGAGCAGCTAACGGAGCTGCTAGCCTCTTCCAGCTAATTCTTCATTGTTCTGTTGTTTCTAACAGCTGACAAACGGCTCCGGTAACGGCTCGCGGGCTGCTAACGCTAGTTAGCTTCCGTTAGCTGGGTAACAGCATGAAGCAGGCTAAGTTCAGTTTGAGCTCAGCTAAGCTAGCACACCTTGTGAGTGGACACCAGGGAGGCTCAACAAAACTGGCTAACAGATACCAGCTCTGAGATACTAATGTTCTTCTTCATCATCATCGACCACTGATTTTTCAGGGATAAGCTGAGCATGAAGCTCCGAGTTTACATCCACACAGGCAGGAAGGACACACAACATGTGAGAACAACCGCACTGTAACGATGAGAACACCCAAGGATTAGGGACTGTTCGTTACTTATGAGGGGGGTGCATGCCAGATATTATTTAAGCACTGCACAGGGACTTATGTTTGGTGTTTTGGCTCAGAGGAGGGACGCACAGAGTGAAATGGTTGTTAAGTTTTAGGACTGGATACTGTTAAAACCCTTTTGTAGCAATGAATATTTGTTTTTCAGCCAATACTGACGAGTGTCAAATCATTACTTCATTCAAGTTTAAAGGCGGATTTTTGCTCCGTCATAAAAGTTGTAGAGACCAGATGGTGAATTGTGGTTTTTACTTATCAATGTGTCATTTTCTCAAAATCAAAATCATGTGTAATATTACTTCTCATTGTTATATAATAGGTGAACAGGTGAAATCTGTATTTTTCCACCAGTCAAGTTCATTTTTAATAACTCTTGTACTTATATTATCACTTTTGTTCCTCTACGAGGTGTGAGGGGTGGGGAAATCGATACAGCATAGTATCACAATACTTGGCTGTGGCAATTTCATATGGTCACACAGTGCCAAGCATCAAAGTTTTATTACATAACTTAGTAATATTACAAAATAAACTTCAGGTAGACTACTTGAATATTATAATCAGTTGCTTTCTCAGTCCACTACAAATGTTTTTTGCTGCAAAAAAAAAAGGCTGAAGTGAGATGGGCAGACTGAAAACTTAATTTTATGAGATAATACAGATGTTGACGATGTTTTTGTTTGGGGACATTATTTGAGTTGTAAAAAGGTAGTTGTTGAAGTTGAAAAGAGGCAATAAATGGGAATATACTGAATTATATTTTATTGCAACACACATCGAGATAATATTGACTCGTCGTGAGTAATGTGTTGTGATAATATCGGATCGTGGAACCTCTGGTGATTCCCAGCCCTGTCAGGCACTGGCTTTTGCTTTTCACTCCTTAAACACTTTATATGTCATATTTTGATACTGATAGTGAATATTCTGTTTTAAAAGTTAGGCCCAGTGTCTGAACCTGACCCAGGGAACTCACTGGTTGTTCTGGTTGTAACTGGTCTGTGAACGTTAATTGTTGTTACTGTAATTGGAAGCCTTCTCTGGAACAAGAATTTCACAGATCTCAGACAGATTCAAAGTGATAATCAAAATAATGCCAATAAATAAAACACTAAGTAGGGAAATAAATCTTAATTCTAGTCAGCAGCTTTGTACAGATATTTTGTAAGTATTTCAGCTGACAGTGTGAACAAAATAAACAAAACAATCTCAGCTGCGGTCAACATCTTTAGTTCAAGTTTTACACCAACAGTTTCTTAATCAAAGCGATGACAACACACGGACTTTGATGACGTGGTGAAGTAACGTGGGGTCATTTACTGCCGTTATTAATCTGTCTGATGTGATGAGGGCAGAAATCATGTTTATGGAAGAGAAAATGTATTCATAATATTGACTTGCGTTATTAATAGTCACGTTAACAAGCTGACTTACCTTTCGCATTAGATGAAGCACCTATACAGCTGAGTGTTGAAGGCCCCAATCACACAGAGCGTTTTGCAGCGCGAGGCTCACTGCACTGTTTTTTTTTTTTGTTTGTGTTTTTTTTAATTGGAAGCCACGAGTAAAAAACATTTGCTGCACATTTTTATTGTTGCCAGGCAACCACCCCATCACCCCCTTTACCCTAACCTTCCTGTGTGATCCGTCTACAGTTTATTTATCTTATGTATCCTGCAGTAATCAGTGTGTAGCTGCTGCCATGTTGAGGCAGAGGGTGCTGTCTGTAGCTCTGGTTGAGGGTGAGAGGCTGTCAGCAGATAAACAGAGATCTGTGTGGGTACATGAGACCCTAAAAAAGAGGCTGGATCATGGGGAGTACCACCAGTTGGTCCAGGAGCTTCTCCTCCATCATGGACGTTTACAGTACTGCACTTATCTGCTGTTTTCTATT